CCAACCCAAGCCCCAGGCCAGCTCCTTCCCCCCCTCCAGGCTGGATGAAGGGCAGCTCTCCCCACCCCAAGCCCAGAGTGAACAGTGGGCTCCCTGCACCCCAATTCGGGCCCCACAAGCCATAAATCACAAGTAGAGGTGCGGGGGGTTCCCGGGGCCATTGCCATCGGAGTCTCTGGAGCCAGAGAACAATTTCTGTCTGTGCTGACTCCACAGACAGGATCAAAACAGCATGAAAGAAATCAGAGCGAGAACGTCGTCAGCAGGAGCTGGACTTCTAAAACCCCCTTCCGCCCCCATAGGCTTCAATATTAAAAAAACCCCTAGGAGCCTCAGACACTGTATTAATTAGTGCAACCACCCATGAAAAGTTGGGTTTGGAGCGGCATTCTTTGCCCTGTGTGAAAAACCAAGTCTAATAAACAATTGTTAAGTTGGCCTGTTGCCGCTGGTAAATTACATAGCATTAAAAAAATAATGCTTTTCATATTAGGCACTAATTAAAGGTTGGGACAGCTTTAAAACAAGAGAGGGAGGGGGGAAATCAAAGAAAATATAAAAATGTTCTTTCAAGAGTTATGGGAGGTTAATAAAGTAGGTCTGTTAGAGTGAGCCTACTTTGCCCCTAGCTACAGCCAAACTGGAGCCACCACAATTGGGTCTCAATAAGATAATGATATTCTTTTCTCTACTATTAAAAGCCTCCCAGTGCAAACTTAAAATGATTTATTTAATTTAGGAAATTATGAGGTGTAACTTCAAAGCCCGAGCCGTTAGTAATGGAAAATACCAGGTTGTTTAAAATTATAATAATAATTGTTTGGAGGACTCAGGACATCAAAGTGTTTTCATCAACAAATGCAGAGGGGTCCGGAGGAGGTTGGAAACAGTCAGAGGAGGTGGATGGAGTTTAGGTTTGATTATTATGAACCTTATCAGGGCAGGATTCAGGATCCCCGCAGCCTGGTACTCTGTTCTGCTTTGAAGCAGGCTATTTTGGAAAGTAATTTTACTGCTTTTTATTTAGTTCCTAGCAGGGAGGAGGTGAGAGGGGTTGCTGGGCGTGGGAGAGGGGTGGAGGGGTCCCGGAGTTGACAGCAGACTTTTCCTCACTGCTCTCTGACCGATTTCATTAAAAAGACCTACGGCATCACCAATCTGGAAACTTTTTTTTCTTTCTTTCTTTCTTTTTTTTAAGTTACATTGAAGGGGAAAACAGGCACAATCAACTTCACCAACTGAGGCCTGTGATTTCAGCGAGGGGTGTGTGTATGTGTGTGTGTGTGTGACGTGGGTTCTTTTATAAATGAGGTTTATGTTTATTCCAAACCCAGCAGTGGAGAGGGAGTGGGGGTGGGGAAGTGGCCTCTCCAACCCGTGGCAAATGAGCTGCTTTTATGGCAAAGAATGGCCGTGGGAGTTTTCATTCGGTCAGACAAGGTTCTGCTCAAAGGCAGGGATCCTCTTTTCAGTCAGGTCAGGCAGACGTTTTACCAGCGCCTGCTCTCATCCAGCCAGGCCTTCGCTGCCTACCTCCTGCCGGCCTTGCCCCAGCATCACCTCCCCGGGGCTGCAGGGGGGAGGGTGGTCAGGCTGAGCCCCAAGTCCCCTGTGATAGAAAAGCTGGGCCCCTGTGTGGGGAGCCCCTTACAGCAAAGAGGGCTGGGGAAGGGGATGCAGAGAGGGGCTCCAGAGCTGGGCTGCGCTAGGATCTGGGCTGGGGCATCTGGAGAGCTCCCTAGGGCCCAGCATCCCGCAGCTCCTCTGAGACAGCTCCTTCAGGGCCCCCCTTTGCCAGACTTTATGCCCACCACCAGGCTCACGCTTAGGTCTGAATTCTGCTGCTGCCCCTTGCCGACTCTGGGACCTTAGTGAGCCACCTCTCTGAGCCTCAGTTTCCTCAACCATAAAATGGCATCAAAAATACCTCCCCAAGGGTGTGCAGCGACTAGATGAGATGAGCCAGAAGATGCCTAGTTCTGTACTTAGCAAGAGCTCGATAAATGGGATTTCCTCTCCTTGTATCCCCTCTTTCCTGAAAGCAGGGCCGTCTTCCTGGGAAGTTTTAGGTAAAAGCATTGAGAAGTGCGGGAGGACTGGGCGGGGGGGAGTTGTGTGCCAGGCTCCCGGCAGCGCAGGCGACGATGGCCAAAGCCGGCACAGTGGCATCTTCGGTTTTAATTTCCAAGGCGCGGCTGCGGGGTCCTTGGTGAGACAGGGTCCTTCTGGCGCCCCAGGTGGTTAGCGTGGTCCCTGAAACGCCTGGCATGCCAAGCCCGACCTAAGCGGAGACCGTGGCGACCGCCAAACCTAATGCTGGGCAGGCGGTTCGGAGGGACCCCCAGAGCAAGGCGCACCGGCGGGCCCGCGGACCTCTGGCCGTTGTCTGGGCCCCGGCAACCCGGCCGCGTCCTCAACTAGGTAACCCCATCCGCCCAGGAGCGCAGGGGTGCGTGTATTGGCGCCTGAGCGACTCTTTTTCCCTGTCCCGGCCTCAGTTTTTCTTTGGGATTTAGGGTGATTGGGGTAATGCGCAGGGGCTTAGATGGTTTCCAATCCACCCGGCTGACCACACAGGACGCAGCCCGGTTCTCCGAAAAACACTCTAGCCTGGGACCCCCTCCTCCCGGGGGCAAGCTGAGTCTTAACCCAGAGTTGGCGTCTCCGGATCCCCCACCCCGGGCTGAGATTGCCCGAGGCTGCGGGGTCCGAGAGGCTCCGGGAAGGAAGCTCGCGGTGGACGGGCTAATTAGGGCCCCAATTTGGCTGCTGATGACGAAACCGGGAACGGCTTTGGCCTTTGGAAAACGTATCCCACAAATGAGGATGGCTGGGGTGGCCCAGCAGGATGGCCAGGGCACACTCGGGGAGGTTTGGGACGTTCCTGAGGTTCACTCCAGCTCGCGGGCCGAGCTGGAAGAAATCGGTCGGACCCCAGCTTCGGAGCAGATCCCTGGGTTTGGATCACACTCCGTAGGAGAAACTCACCGACCGACCTTGGGAGCCTCTGCCCCACCGGAAAAATGGAGTTTCCGGCGCCCACCTCTAAACTGGGTGTCGGCACAGGAAACTGGGACGAAAGCGCTAGTCCTAGTAGGTGCCAGGTGCCAATCTCCCCACCGCTCAGGCTCCGCAACAGGAAGTTCTCGACTCCCTTCCAACTCGTTCCCAGGTCACTCGAGCTTCTCATCCGAAAACAGCCCTCAGAAAGTTATCATCAATGGCCAATTGGTTTCTTTGTGCAACAGGAAGTGGAGTTTAAGATTCTTCCCCGCCTCCCCCCACCCATTACCAATTTATTTTCATGGTGATGCCTCAAAACCCAAGCCTGACCCCCCGTTCTGTAACCAGTGGAAAGGCAGGCTGCAAAGCAAAGGGAACTTGAATGAACTACCTTCCCCCCTACAAACCGAAAAGAGCATTTGTTCAAGGCCGATCTCCTTGGAAGGAGCTAGGAATGGTAAACGGAATGTGATTTGACACAGTCCTGAAAAGGGCAGCAGGCATCCATCTACCCCCCTCTCCCCCTCAGTGAACGCATCTAGTTACCATCTACATTTGCAAAGAGCTATATAGGTCCCTTCCCTCAGCTCGAAGCTTGCTGTTGTGGTAGCTGAGAGATTTCAAGTTCAAGATTCCCGCCCCCCCCCACCCCGCCCAATCATCCACAAACCCCTCAGATTCTGGCCGATCCCTGGGCCCTGCCACTTCTAAGCTCATCTTTCACTGGAATTTGAAAAACTCCTAATAGCAATTTTCCATGAGTAACACAAGCTGCCAGAGGAAGCATTTCAAAGTCTTTTGCTATTTGCTGTAGACTTCCCTACCCCGGGCTGAATCTGGCCACAGCTCTTGATTGATTCACATTAAAATCATCATAAAAATCACCAGCCCCCCTCCCCCATCTGGGTGGCATTTCTGGGCTAAGATCAGCTAAAGAACAGAGAGCACCTCTTAAAAATAATTGTGACTTTGGACAGACTTTACTGCAATAAAACGTTTAATTTAATTCAGAATAAGAGATAAGAAATAACTCTTCAATAAAATATATAAAATTATACAAGGCACCCTTTCAAAGGGATAAAAGTATACTTGGATGGGGGAGGGGGAGCTGGATAGAAAAATGAAATACCAAGGAGCTATATGGGCTGTCTGACAACACCATTTTTTATCAAGTCAAAACATGGCTTTACCCTCTGCCCCCAACATGTTAAAAAGTATATAATCTTTTCTAATAAGTTTAGCACATACAACAGGTACACACACAGAGAAAGCATGATTTTTTTTCTTTTTAGATCTATTCATTGTTCAGGAATATTTAGTATAGATAATGGTTACAAGATATTCATATTTTTTAAGCAGAGAATTAACTAACACACACACACACACACACACACACACACACACACACACACACACACCCCCAAATCACCTTTTCAATGTGTGAGGACTGATGTACCTAGTGGTTCACGGAAACCATCAATTCCTCCCGACATGCTTTAACTCTTCACTCTCCAATTATCTGAAATGCAGTTAAGCAACAGCCTTGAGAGGAATTAGGAAGGACTTCCATTTTCCACCTTACCCCGAGGCACTCTCAGGATTCTTCTCATCCCCCTTTTATTGATCTTACAAAAACTTTGAACAATGTGTAACAAACAAGGTGGAGAAGGGGAAAAAAAAATAGGGCCAAATATGGTCATATCTAGTGAGTTTTTAAATGCACATAAAAAATGCAAAAACATGATGTGTCCCCTTCTCTGGGAGGAATCTCTCCATATCTACTGCCTATGCACATAGTGTCTAATTCTAATGTTTGCAAGTCAGTGATCCAAATCATCAGATTTCAGCAATTTTAGCAAATAATTTGTCTCCCCCATAAGAAAAAGACAACAGGTAGACTTAATTAAGCAGTCTCTTTTAGGAAGGTGATATATAGAGAAAAAAGACATATATATATATATAAATTTTACCTTTCAAAATAATTTGATTTTTATGTCTGCTGTATAAAAATGTATTATATTTTATTATATATATATATATATACATATATATATATAAACCATCAGAGCCAATCTTGTGAAAGGAGACGAGGGGGTGGCATCTGGAAGATTACACCAAGAAAACGGGGCTTGGGTGTCTCCAGTCAAAAGAACCAATTTCAACTATGTCTGTGGCCCTGTCGATCTAGCCGCTGAGGGTGGTGCATGCAAGGTTTGCAGAGCGGGACTGTCTTCTTGGAGAGGGAGGGGGAAGGCTTTTAAACAAACATCCATCCCCGGAGTCTATTGAGCTGGTCTTCCTTAAGACAGGTGGTACATGCCATATCCCACTGGAGTCGCATAGAGTCCGACGGGCGGGATGGGGAGCACAGGTCTATGGAAAGGGTAGGACGCGCCGTATAGGGAGGCTGCTTGCAGGGGCGAGTTGATGGGGAAAGGGAGGCTGAAGCCAGAGGGCAGCATAGGTTTTGCAGCCATTTTCAGCTTTTCCAGTTCGGCCTCTTGCAGTCTTTTCGCCTTGGCTCTTCGGTTCTGGAACCAGATTTTGACCTGTGTCTCTGTGAGGTTCAGAGAGCTGGAGAACTCTGCCCGCTCTGCGATGGAGAGGTACTGTTTCTGGCGGAACTTGCGTTCCAGAGCGAGGAGCTGGGAGGTGGTGAAGGGTGTGCGTGGCTTCCGATTGGTCTTGTGTTTCCTCAGGGTGCAGGTGGTGGGGCTCATGTGTCCTAGGGAACAGAGAATGGGGAGTGAGTTAGCAAAAGAAAGTGGCTTTCTCGCCAGGTGTGTCCATGGGGGGCGGGGGAGGGGGGTCTTCCCTCTTCATCTTTCAAAAAAGGTACCTTGGTCAAAACCATGTGCGGTTGGATTTTTTTGGGGGGGAGGGGGGTGGGGATAGAGGAGGATGATACTTAAATGGATAAATTGTTTTGTTTTTTAAAAATTGAATCTTTTTCCAAAAGTCTGGGAGTTTTATGGTGTAACAGAACTTTCTATATGGAAAGCAAACAGCATTAGAGATAATGAAATATGAACAGACCCCTCATAAGGCAAGAGAGCTGAGGGTTCTCTGGGAAACAAAACCCCATCTCTTCTTGACGTTGCTTATCTTAAAAATGGGGGGCTGGGTTCATGATAGTCCTCGCATCCCTAGGACACTGAGATAATCACATATGAGAAGGAGAATGAAAAGGGTCTTATGAACTGGGTCCATCCCCTCTCTGCACCAGGAGAAGTTGGATTGCATCAACATATTTATGAAGGATAATCGTGCCGATAAGGTCTGCAGTAAATTAATAGCATCTATGGATTGGTGAGCAGCCTCATGCAATAAACAACCACACAGATGTCATTCCCTCCAGTCTACAGATTATAAAACCTGAACATCATTTTACAGATCTGGATGTGGGATAACTTTCTTGGCTGGGTGCTTCTGTAATATAAACTTCACTAAGAAGGAGGGAAAAATTAGCTCGCCCATAAATGTAAATGTCAGGGGAAATCATGCTGCCTCCTGAATTGAGAGCATGTGATGACATTTTAGCCATCTCTCCTACCCATTCTATGGTTTGGAGGCAATGTGTAAATGATTAGCTTGTTGCTGGAATTCAGAAAGAAGGAATAACAAGCAAAATAAAGGTATGCCAAGAGCATCCAGACTCCATATTTAAAATGGGTTCAATTATAGGAAATCATAGGACAGGGCATCCTCGTGATTCCATAGCATCAACTAACTTCGGGTTTTTCCTTAAAGGAAGTTGGGGTGGAGCTGAGGGACAGATGCTAAACGATTCATTTTCTGCATTTGGCTTTTATGAGCTATGCTAATTTTCCAAATGTAGCCACCGTAGTAACTCCAAAGCACTCCAAAGGGAGAATGTAGCATTTCTTGTTTAGTTACTTTGGTGGCCCAAGAAAGAGTTTACACTTCATACTTGAGGGTGACACAGCACAAGTCCCAACCGAGCCTCCATTTCCAACAAGAAATGGATTTGTCCTAATGTGACATTATTAACCACCACTTTTAAGTGGCTAAAAATGAAAGAGGTAGTGGGTTCTGCCATCAATCAAAAAGCAGAAAACTGGGAGAGGGATGGGTAAGAAACTACCCCAGGAGTATAGACTTTTGCATATGCTAATCCCTAAGTAAGCCAGAGAGCTGGGGGTGCCTACTTCTTAATTTACAAATAAAATAACAACAATCAGAGACTCAGGGACCTGTGAAATTCTCACCCTTCCCAAACGTGACCTGGCTAGCTGGGAGGATCCAGTGGCCACAGCTCAGACACCTAGCTCCTAGAATCTACACTTGGCCTCTGCTCTACGTTTGGAAGCGATTCTGTGCCTGGGCACGGTCATTCCGGCTGCTCCTAGGGGCTGCATTTGAATTATGAAATCCAGGTGACGGAATCTCCTGTGTGTATCAAAGCTTCCCTCGCAGCGCACCTCTCTCCGCCCTCCCATTCTCCTCCCCACTTTAAACCAGCCTGGGGAAGGGCGCGATTATACAAAGCAAAACAGCATTTATCCTACTGCCTCCTGAGAATAACAAAACCTGGGCCTGGGCAGGTGGCTTCCTCCTGCCCCAGGCTCTGTCGCTAGGCTCCCCTGGACCCACCGCTCCTACCACAGGGCTCCTGAGGCCATCTCCAGGCCCAAAGCACCAACGACCCACTTTTTTAAAAAGATTAAATCCTTTCTCAGAATCTCCTACTTTTCTCATGGAAGGGTCACATCCAGGGCCCACGGCTGCCTTACCCTGGGCCCTGGCAGGCATGCTTACAGAACCCCAGGAACCTAAGAAAGTGGAAATGTCTGACCTCTGGACACCACTCCCTGTAAGGCCTGAATCCTTGATGTGCAGCTGGGAATTGACCCAGGCCTAGGCATATACAGGCACTCAATATCTGTCAAACAAATTAAGTCCCTTAAAGTTTCTAAGCCTCTATTTCACCATCAATAAAATGGGTAACTAATACTGATCCTGCAGTGTGGTTCAGAGTACCAAATTTTAGAATGCCCAGAGTCTTGTCTGCCATCAGATATGTGATCATTAAATGTCCCCAAGTCTTTCTTGTCAAGCCCAAACTCGATGTGTGCAGATTCCTCTGAACTCTGTTGAAACGTCCTCATCTGTTACCGGGAGGCCAGCTTCAGCCACACGGAGATCAGATAAGATAATATGGTGAAAAGTGCTATAAAGTACTGTGCAAACTTGAGTTTAAATTCTTTGAGTCCTTAATCTCCACGCCCTTTGAATCTTTGGGAGTTTCTAACAGGGTGGAGAGAGATGCCAGAGGGGACAGCCACTGATGCCTGGTTATATGGCCTTGTTTTGTTCACAAAATACTTTGCATCTCGAGTTTTCAGGGCTGATGGGAATGGGGTAAAATGTGATGCTCCCAGCTTTCGAAAAAGTCCCTATACAGGCACCCTCTCTCTCACCTTTCCTAGAGGCAGAGTGCAGATAGAGAAATCTTAAAAGCTGGGAGACAGAAGTAAAAGGAGCTACAGGGAATGGCTTCTCCATATTGCAAAAGGACCCAGGGCCCAAAACTGGACGTAAACGCTGGAAGAGAAATCGGCTCTCCTGCGACTCTCTGTTCTCCTTCCTCATTGGCAGGAAGCGGGGTGCAGGTGTTCGGCCCTCTGCTTGGTCTGTCTGGGGAGAGGGATCAAGGTGGCCAGGGTTGGGGCTTGGACACCTGGGCCGCTTGCCCAATTCAGCCATTGTTGGTGACCTGGCTCAAGCAAGTTCAGTCCTCAAAGTATGCATGTCTGAAAACTGGGATAACCACAGGTCCCGGGCTTCTGCCCACACTTCGGGGTTCCAGCGATGATCGGGATCTGGTGAACTAATAAGCATCACTTTGTAAACTCAAGCGCTGCTGGAATGCTGTTAATTACTACTCTGAGCCAAGCGGAGCCCCACGCTGCTGACCCCAGCCCGCTCCCAGCGAAAGCGACGGGCTGGCCGCCGGGACGACCGGGAGACATTTCCTCGCTGCATAAGTCTCTGCCGCCATCCCTCCGTGTTCCCGTGCTTCGATACCCGCGGGACCAATGGAAGATGATCATTTCTACCCAAAGTCGGGTTAGATTTTAATTAACTCATCTTTACAGTGAGGGCACACCTCGCAGCGTTGTGAACTTTGAAAGGCAGTTAGACACTCCGCCTCTGCCTGACATATATCCCGGTGCTCTTTAAACGTGGATCCTCCTTCATTCCCCAGACTGAGACCCCGAGGGACAGTGAAAAAAAGCGAAGTGGCCTGAGCGCAGGGCTGAGGGCTAGAGAAACGGACACCCAAGCGACCCCGCAAACCCAGCTGGGTTCGCCCTTCAACGATCAGGGCGTTGGCAACTGTGTCGAATATTCTGTACAGCTAGGGGATCCCAAACACGCGCTGTGCGGATATTACCCAGAAGGTATCTTGAACGCCGTGGGCGCGCTGAACTCGGGGGATATTAAGGGGCCAAGGACTTGTAATGCTTGCTTTTCGGGGCGCATAGTACAGAGGGGTCTCCGTACCCCTAGCTTGGAATACTGACCCCCAGTTCCCTCCTGTACCCCGCGCACCCTCCTACCCCTTGTCCCGGCCTCTTCAGGCACTCACTTGGCGGCGGCGAATATCTGCCCGGTTCCTGCATCCACGCCGCTCCGTCTTCTGAATTTTCCGACTTGACCGAGGCTGTCTCGAAGGGCTTGACCAACGGCCCGGGGCTGTGCGCCTCCCGGACGCTGTGTCCGGGCAGCAGAAGTGGCCGCAGGGTGGCCCCGGCGGAGGCGCTTTCGGCTGGCAGTGGGGAAGTCTCCTTGGGCGGCTTCTTGTCCGACATGAGCGCCTCCACGCTGAAGGGCAGGCTGGAGACCTTGACGCGGCGCTCCTCCGCGGCCCCGTCGGCACCCCCAGGCCCCGGGCCCGGCTCGGCCACCATCGCCGGGCCCTCCTCATCAGACGAAAACAGGTCATTGCCTTTGGACGGAGAAGCCATGACTTCTCTGCCCTACGTAGCTCCCGGCGCGCGACTCCGCTGGCAACCAGGCAGCTGCGACTCAAACTTTTTTGGGGGGAGACGGGAGGGGCGCGCCGGCAGCCGTGCCTTTCCTCCAAGGGGAAGTGAGAGACTCGGCTCAGCCAATCCGAGCCTGTCCTGGCGCTGACGCCACGGACGCTCGCCTCCGATTGGCTCTTCCGGAAGAGGCTGGGGCCTTTTTTTTTTTTTCTTTTTTTTTTTCCTGTTTGAAATAAATTAGGAGTTAATTACAGGAGCAGTCAGCAGAGTTGTTATCAGGCGATCCCTCAAGGGTTATAATCACGCCAAAACTGAAAAGTCTAAGGCGTAATTAAGGCCGATTATTTAAAGAGGAAGTTCGCGGAGTCCCATTTCTTCTCTCTGTTGACCCCTCTTTTTAAAAGGTACTCCGCCCCAGAACATGTTTAAAATCTGCAAGTGACATTGCAAAAACATTTATGAAGCTCCTACTATGGATCGAAACTGGGCGAACGTTAACAGTTTTAGGGGACAGCACTGAAAGCAAGGGCCAGCATCCCTGCTAAAAGACATACTACATGCATGGCGCTTTGAAAAGCAGGTATTTCGCTCTCAGCAAGTGCCCAACGGCGTCCGCTATTACTATAACTCCCTTAGGAGAGGGGCCGGAGCGAGCCAGAGAGGTAGGTCGTCACGGCTACCCTCTCCCAAGTAGTTCCTACTGGAAGATTTAAACCAGAGCTTCCCATCTCTTCCACTCGAAAACAAAACCAGCGCACTCTTAGAAACTTGGAATCCTCGAGTTTTCTTTTCCCTGAATCTCCTCTCTGGACATCCGGATCCGACCTTTTTCTCAAGACTGCGTGCATTGTGTGTTCATGAGCCGGTGTTTGTCGTGTGTTTGGGTGCCAGTATTTGCCTTCAAGGCCGAGGAGGAGTGAGGAAAAGGCATAGATAATATCTAGTGCTTCCCACCCCCCCA